AAGTCTGCAGTATAATGCAGCCTAGTGCCTTGCATTTAGTAGCTACACCAACTTGACTTGGTGGATAACTAGATTGGAAAAATTTATCTCGTAAAACATTTAGAAGTTTAAACTAGTGAAGGGTCATAGCTAGAACTAGGTTTATACAAACATAGAATAAGGGTATATGCAAGCTAGATTGGGATATAGTGTAGCATAGTTGGGTATTGTGATATCTATCTGTTAGAGAGTATTAAAGTAAGACTTATTCAGATAAGACCTAGGTCTATAACAATAAAGTTTGTGACTAATGCCAGCTTGGGTGCCTTCTAAAGTAGAGTAGCATAGGGTTATGGTTAACTATAAAGAGTAATATTTATAGTAAATGAGATAGAGCCAGAGAGTTTAAATAGGGAATCTTCTAAGAGGTAGTTTCTCTTAAGGCGTAACCGAATTACATATTATTGAAAATTGAGCAATTGCTACTTAAGATCAATAGACAATTTTTGTGCTATTTTTGTTTTATAGCATAAGGCAAGATTATAGCATTTTAAAAAATATTTTAACTACATTGAGAAGGCTTTGAAATTACTTGCAAGTTGTTTTTTTTTGAGATTATTACTTTTTGACGCTGTTTCAGAGATGATTCTTAACATTTTAAACTTAAGACTATTATATATTATAGCAAGTGCTGCACTATGCATTTCAGATATCTACCTATAAAGCTGCACCTCTTCGTCAGGAAAAAAACTTTTTCTACTACTACCTTCAAGATGACAGGATTTGCTATAATCAACCTCATCAAGTTTACTCTTTAACTTCGTTACCCAATAACCAACTTGAGTCTTATCTAAATCAAACTTGACAGCAGCCCTAAGATTGCCTTCATGAAGAGCATACTGAACAACATTGGCTTTCTCTTTAAAGATATAAGACTAACGAACCTTCTTAATATTTTCCTAAGACATTTTAAAAAAAATTAACTAATTTTTTTTTCTTGATTATAACTACTTTATTTATATTAGGTTAGATAAGGCAAGCATCAGTATGATTTTTAATCATCATGCACATAACTTCTATTTTTATAACAGTTTCTAACATTATTTGATTCTATATTGATGATATATCATTTCATGAACATCTTCTGACTTAGAACTATTCTATAAAGACTTTTATTTCAAATTTTTTTTTTTTTTTTTTCTTCTTTTTTTTTTTCTTTTTTCTCCCTCTCCTAATAATAATTTGTTTAAATATTGTTCGTTGTATATGTTCAAATAACCTTTATAACTAATGTCTGTAATTTTAATAAAATAAATAATACTTGTCCTATAATATCAGTATAATAATATTTTCTTAAGAAACTGACTTGAATAATGGCTTTGGAAAAATAATT